CCCCCCCCCCCATCGCCCTCCGCCCCCTTCCGCTGTGGCCGATCAGCACTCCCGACGCGCAGGCCACCCTGGACCCGAAGTTCATCGATCACGACATCTATGCGGTGTACTCCAGGGTCATGGATGCCCTGCTGCCGCTGTACCACACCCAGGAGTCGCTGGCCCAGTTGCCGGCCGCCGAGCGGGACGCCATCATGTCCTCGCCCAACTACCAGCCGGATGATGTATGTCGGGCAGCCGTGTCTCCTCCTTTGTCTGGCCTCTTGCTCGTGTTCTTTCCCTCCGCCTTGGTCGCCCCCCCCCGCCCCTTTCGGCTGACTTTTTCCCCTTGTCTGTGTGCGTGGGTGCAGGTCTTTACGCCCCCCTTCGACACTCCGCTGGCCGCGCTGTGCTCCCAGCTGCAGAGTATTTTCTGCCACTACTCGGCCACCCTCTATTCGCAGCTGGCCCAGAATGACTTCAAGCTCGAGTACTTTTGCATGTACGGCCGACTTTGTGAATGCGCCCTGCCCCCCCCCCCCCCCCCGGGGGATTTTGGCTGACCTGCTCCCCTCCTGTCCGTTCGGCTGTCCCCTTCCGGCACCACCTGCCGAAGCCGCTGGCTGCGGCTGCTCTTCTCGCGCGAGTTTTCCATCGACAACACGCTGCTCTTGTGGGATGCCATCTTCCTGGCCCATCCGACCTCGATGGAGGATGCCATGCGCAATGTGGCCTTCTACATCCTGATCACCTTCGATGACATCTGTGCGCGTTTGCTGCGGCCTTTGCACCCTCCTTCCTCGGCCCCGGGTGTCTAAGTGTCTCTCCCTCCTCATCCTCCATTGCCTTGTGATCCTCCTCTGCCTTCCCATCCTCTTCTCACCCCTTCTCCCCCTCTCTCTTTCTCCTCCTTCCGCCCCTTCTCAGTGTCGGACGCCTCGGCCTCCGAATGCCTCCTGGCCCTGATGCAGCCGCCCTACCGGCAGATCAGTATCATGAGCGTCATCAACCACGGTGTCCTGGAGCCGCATCAGTTCCGGGACTCGCTGGGGCGCCTGTCGCAGGAGCCACCCGCCGAGTCCGGCGCAAATGCCGCAACCGGGCCGGCATCTCGTCCGGCGGCCCCCTCAGTCCGACGCGGCTTCCGCAGCCGTCTCGCCGGGACCCGGTCCTCCTCAGCGCCAGCGGCACCGTCCGCCTCCAATGGATCAGCCGGTGCCAAGGGCCGGAGCAAGGATCCGGCGGCCCTGTCACCGGGAGGGAGCCTGGCCGAGGGGCTGGCGCAGTCCGCGCTGGCCGCGAATCCGGCCCCGGGTCTGGCTGCCCAGTCCGAGGCCGAGTCGCTGAGGGAGCTCGGCATCCCGGTGTCCACCGCCTCCCAGCAGACGTATGTGCCGATCACCTCCTTCTCGCGCCTGGGATCCTCTTCTTCCTCTTCTTCCTCTTCTTCCTCTTCTTCCTCGGGGTCCTCGGGCCCGGTGGGGACCATCTCCGAGGCCATGGGGTTGTCGTCGGAGGCCAGCCGCGCGGCGTTGGACTCCAAGATGGGGCAGCTTCAAAATGCGGCGGCCGTTGCCCAGCGCGCGCGTCAGTCTCGCGGGCGCATCGTCATGTCCAATGCCAGTGCGGCTTCCTACCTGACGGAGGAGCCGTCCACCTCGCTGCCGGCGGTGTCGCGCCTGGCCGGGCGGCGGCCCTTCATCGGGGCCTCCGACTCGAGCTCCGACTCGGACTTCGATCATGCTCTTTCCGATTCGGACGGCCCGGCGGGCCTCGGCCAGGATGACGATCTGGCAACCGACGGGGGTGCCTCGCCGCATGGCAGCCCCCGGGACCTGACCAGCCCCTCATCCTGGGACGAGGTGGAGGTGGCCGAGGTGGAGGCGGTGGCGGCGGCCGGGGCGGCGGCGGCGGCGGCCGAGGTGGCGGCTGCCGCCGCGACCGAGGCCCTGGACTCCTGCGCCTCGACCGACAATCCGGACAGCGAGGCGGAGGACCCGCTCGCCGGGGGGGAGGTCGCCGCGCCGGAGGAGGCGCCGGCCCGGCCCTCGCCGCCGATCCTGGTCCTGGACTCGGACTCCGACTCGGACGATCCCTTTTCCAGCCTCCAGGCCCGGGCGGACCTGACCAAGATCTCGCAGCAGCACTTGAGCCAGCTGCTGGGCAGCGACGCGGGCAAGTCCTCCACGGCCACCATGGCCGACGGCGCCACCACCACCACCACCAGCACCACCTCGACCGGGCTCTATCTCGAGGCCGACACCAGTGACTTGGAGTTGGACGGGTTGGATATCGACCCGCTGGAGTCGCTGTCCGCCGGCGGCCAGTGGACCCTGACCGGGAGGTTGGGTTCGCCCGAGAGCGAGGACGATGTCGACGATGAGGATCTCTTCTCGCGGCCACAGGGCCGGCGGTCGCTCTTCTAAGGGCGGTGGTCTTGTGCTTCTTTTTCATCCCCCCCCCCCCTCTCTCTCTCCCTCTGCCCCTCGCCCTGATGGGTCCTTCTTCGGTGCCCGTCCGTCCGTCCGTCCGTCCGTCCTTTCCCCTCCTCGCGCGGCTCGCCAGCCTGGGCGTTGGTGTGGCCCTGTTGTGTGTGTGTGTGTGTGTGTGTGTGTGGGGGGGGGGGGGGGAGGCGGCGGATGCCGGCTTGCCCCTCTCTCTTCCCAAATAAGACGCCCTGTAGGCATGCATGCGTGTTTGTATTGCGTTTGCCCCTGGCGGGCGTGCATCTCTGCCCCGACGGGGGCCGCTTGGCCGCGAGCGGGTGGGTGGCGGGCAGCGGCGGGGCGCCGTGGAGCACGCCGACGCGCGGCGCATACGTACCGCGTCGGTGTGTCGCATGTGCCGCCGGCCGCCCGTGCTGGTCCGGGGCATGTGGGAGGTCGCAGTCGTGAGCGCCCCCCCCCCCC